CTACTATTATTATTATTATTATAGTTGTTGTTGTTATTGTTACTATTATGGATTTATTGTTGTTATGTTATTTTTATTTATAATTTATACAATTAACTTCCATGTGCTTCGACTCTAGTTTTGCTGGGTTATTTATTACTTTGATACTCCTACATTTGGGAAAAGACATAAATCTTTTGGTCATGTCACATACTAACATGCATCATTTATATTATAGAAACTAAGAATGGAAATGAATGTACATGGTTTTTGGTGAAAAAGGGTCAATAGTTGTGCTGACCTACTATGCTAGGTTTGTGATTCTAGAGAAGAAAAATCCTATAGTGATGCTAGCCTCCTCTGCTGGTTCCTTGGTTCTGAAAAAAAGTGAAGCCAATGGTGATGATGGCTTTCTCTGTTATTTCCTTCATTCTGGAAGAGTAAAGAGCAGATGGTGGCTCAACTCCTCTACCGGTGTCACATTTTATAACGGTCACTCTGCTCCTCTGTTTGATTTCACCTTCTCTCTACTTTCTCTCTTCTTGCTCACTGTCTCATTGCTTTTCTTCTCTTTACATTCTACCTTCTCTGTTTTCTTTCTCCTCTGTCTCGTTCCCTCTCCTCATCCTTCTTCTCCTCCCTTCATGTTCGGTTCCCCCTCAGGCTTTTATAGCCAGAGGACGCCAGCATTTTTGGTAAGTTGGCGTGCATCACGGTGGTGAGGGATGTCAGCCGTGATGTACACCCCATTGATTCGAGAATGGCTCCATTATCGCTGCTAAAGTCTTCTTCCATTATCGTCATAAATTCACAACTGTTTGAAGACAATAAATGGTGGAAACAATGTCGCTTGGGTTCTTTTGATTTGGCCATTGAAGTTCTCACAGTTTTGTAATTAGACCCCCGAAAAAACTATAATTGGATCCCTTAATTTTGGCGCATTTTCTAGTTTGGTCTATGGTTTCATATTGTGTTAATTAAGTCCCTAACTAGCCATCAAACTTTAATAATTATGCAATTAAATCCTTGATTTGTCCAAATCAACTCTTTAAAATTATAATTGGACCCCAGAACTTTAATTTATTCTAATAAAGCCTAAATTGACTTAAAAATCAATTGTTCTTGCAATCAAACCCTCTATAAATTCAATTAAATCTTAGATAAAATTTAATTGAGTCCATAAACATCTAATTTTGGACTTTTCTTTCTCAACTTGAATTTTTGTCAATAGGGCTCTCATCATTAAAAAACATAATGTGAAATTTTAATTCTTGTATTTTTTGAACCTCCTAAACCAATTCCTAGCCATTTTATAGGAGTTCTAACATCCTTTTCTCACTATTATTATTATTATTATTATTATTATTATTATTATTATTATTATTATTATTATTTTCTTCCTTCTGAATATATTTTTTTGATATGTATTTTTTGTATTTTATTTATTTTTTTATTTTTTATGGGAGAATCCAAAAATGGGTAACAACAAAGCTTTTGGTGCATATGTTTAAAAACCAATTGTTGTTGATAGGGGTGTAACTTGAGAAACACCATATCACCTACTACGAAAAATCATATCCCTTCTATTTTTGTCAGTTGTCTGCTTCATACGATTAATGAAATTCTCTAAATTTATCTTTAGGTGATGTAGTAACTCATTTCTAGACATGAGATTCTTGTCCACCTCATGCATTGATGCATCACCACTGTGGTAATTAGGAAAGAGAGGAGGCAGTCGACCATACAATGCCTGGAATGAAGTCATTCTAGTAGAGGCATGGAATACGATATTATATGAAAGCTCAACCCAAGCAATATATTTATGCTCCACTTGCACGACCATTGATGAAAAAAGTAGCGAAGATATTGTTTGATATAACAATTTACCACATCTGTTTGGCCGTCTTTTTATGGATGATAAGCATAGCTGAGTTTTAGTTGTGTACCTGACATGTAAAATAATTGTTGCCAAAATTGACTGATAAATATAGGATTTTAATCACTAATGATTGATCTAGGAATACTATGCAACTTGATAACCTCTTCCACAAATCTTTTAGCTACTCCTTTTACAATAAATGGATGGGATAAAGTTAAGAAATGGTTGAATTTACTTAACTTGTCACCCACTACTAAGATTGTGTCTTTACCATAGGAGGTTGGCAATCCTTCAATGAAATCAAAAGTAATATCATCCAAAACTTGGCAAGGATTGGGTAAAGGTTGTAAGAGTCTAGCAGGGGAAAGTGTGTCTGTTTTCATTTTTTGGCACACTTCACAGTGCTTAACATATTCTTGGATAGCTTGGTATATCTTAGGCCAGTAAAATTGATGAGCTAGTTGCTTGAATGTACGTAAGACTCTAGAGTGCCCGCCAACCTTGGTATTGTGTGCTTCATACAATAACTTAGTGCATAACAGTTCACATATAGGAATTATCACTCTATGTTTAAATAGCCACAATCCTTGGCATTGTGAATATGGTCCATTGGGCTGAGCCTTGGCTATCCGCTCTACTAACTAAATATACTTATTATTATTGTATGCTTCTTTAATTTCATCCTACAAGATTATAGTGGCTAAGTGTAAATGATGAAGTGTGGGGTTGTTTGGCCTACAAGAAAGTGCATCTGCAGTTGAGTTTTCATGACCTAGATGATAAATAATTTAATAGTCATACCCTCGTAGTTTGGCTGCCCACTTTTGTTGTTCTAATGATACTACTCATTAATCTAGGAGATATTTTAAGCTATGCTGGTTGGTTTCAATAAAGAGTTTTCTTCCCATTACATAAGGATACCATAAACAAATGGCTTCTACAATTGTAAGCATTTCCATGACATATAACCAGGATTTTTTTATGACTCCCAGTGCATGACTCATATAGGCGATGGCTTTGCTTCATTCTGTTAGAACTACACCAATGTCATCTTTTAAAGCATCTGTTTCAATTGTGAAAGAATCATTGAAATTAAGCATGGCTAAAGTGGGAATGGTTGTCATAGCTTGCTTAAGAGCCGAAAAGGTTGCCTTTACTTCATCATACCATCTGAATTTTCCATTCTGTAATAACTTAATGAGGGGTCGAGCGATAATGCTGTAATTTTGGATGAACTTCTTATAGTAACCTATCAATCCTAAAAAACCACTCAATTCAGAAATATTAGTTGGTCGAGGCTATGCAATCATGGTTGTAATTTTTTTGTCATCCACTTTCACTTCTTGAGGTGTAATGATATGCCCCCAGATACTCCAATTCTTGTTGGTCGATAACACATTTGCTAGCTTTAGCAAAAAACTAAAGTTGTCTTAAAATTTACAGAGTTTGTGCAATGTGTTCCACATGTTTATCCCAAGTAATACTTTGATTGTAGCATTATTTACTGCATGATAGTCCGTACAAAATCTCTAACTACCTATAGATGAGGATATCATCAAAGAAAACTAGAATGAATTTTTTAAGGTGAGGTTGAAAGATAATGTTCATAATGGCTTGAAATGTCGAAGGTGTATTACATAGGCCAAAAGACATAACAGTGTATTCATAATGGCCATTGGGAGTACGAAAAGCAATCTTATGAATATTAGAAAGATTGTCCCTTACTTAATGATATCTTGCTTGTAAATCCAGCTTCGTAAAATATACAACTCCATATACCATATCCTTCACTGTTGGAATGGGGAATCAGTCTTTGATTGTAGCATTATTTAATGCGTGATAGTCCGTACAAAATCTCTAACTACCTTTTTTTGTAAATCCAGCTTTGATTGTAGCATTATTTAGTGTGTGATAGTCTATGCAAAATCTCTAACCACCTTTTTGAAATGTCGAGGGTGCATTACATAAGCCAAAAGGCATAACAATATATTCGTAATAGCCATTGTGAGTACGAACATCAATCTTATGAATATTAGAAAGATTATCCTTTACTTGGTGATATCTTGCTTGTAAATCCAGCTTCGTAAAATATACAGCTCCATATACCATATCCTCCACTGTTGGAATGGGGAATCGGTCTTTGATTGTAGCATTATTTAGTGCGTGATAGTCCGTGCAAAATCTCTAACTACTTTTTTTTTTGTACGAGTAACACTGATGAAGAAAAGGGATTGGTGCTAGTACGTATATATCTTGATTTTAGCATTTTATGCACTTGTTTTTCAATTTTTTTTTCCTTTCTAAAAGTAAGTATATCTATCGGGCTATATATTAACCGATTCAGTGTCCTTCTTAAGTGTAATGAAGTGAGCAACCCAGCTCCATATACCATATCCTCCACTGTTGGAATAGGGAATCAGTCTTTGATTGTAGCATTATTTAGTGCGTGATAGTCCGTGCAAAATCTCTAACTACTTTTTTTTTTGTACGAGTAACACTGATGAAGAAAAGGGATTGGTGCTAGTACGTATATATCTTGATTTTAGCATTTTATGCACTTGTTTTTCAAAAAAAAAATTCTTTCTAAAAGTAAGTATATTTGTCGGGCTATATATTAACCGATTTAGTGCCCTTCTTAAGTGTAATGAAGTGAGCAACCTCGTGCACAGGTGGTAAGCATAAGGGTTTATGGAACACGTCCCAATACTTATCTATTACATGTTGTATATCTTTATTGCCATAGTCTGTATCCTGAATTTTGTTCTCTGTGATTGAAACAAAGCATACTGCAAATAACATCTGTTGTTGTCAATAATCTTTTGAGACTTCTTTTAAAGTAGCCTCTTGAATAGATTGCTCGCTCAATCCTTACAACCTTCAAGCTTGATTGTTTCAATTGAAGTCCATAGTTAAGTTTTTCCAATTACAAACCATTGATCCCAACAATTCCCAGCACTAGAATAAGCCCTGATAATGACAAAGAGAAAAGGGTGAGATAAAATTCAGTGTCTTGTAAATTCACAAGTACCTTGTTAAATTGTCTTTTACAATGAAGACGTTGGTCATAGCAACTCGAACAATGAACGGTTTGGTTGGTTTCACTGATAGATATAGCATGTTTACTAAATGATCACTAATGAAGTT